ACGTTTTCAGGGGTCAACGCCCCCCCTCGATCAGGTCCAAGACAATATCCCAAAGAATAACAGAGAAGAATATAATGCTTTACAATCTCAGAAAAGATTTACAAGTAGAGAAAAGATGCATAGGAATTTTGTGTCCATTTAGGGGCCACAAAAGTTAATGGCTGTGTTGATAATGGTATAAAATACCGAAATTAATTAGGACGTGCAACAGTTATCTTATTTGTTGAAACGTTCCGCCTACACAGCAGGCTTCGTCAGTCGTATATAGAGGAGGCAACAGAAGCAGTGGAGATATCAAGACGATTAGTCAAAGGCGTTTGTTGTCGTGGAGAAACTGTATCGTAGAGTTGAAACCCACAGAAACAGACCAAATTTTAGAGAAATTTCGTTTATTACCTTTATCAGCAAGGATAGTTCATTTAGCGTAGCCTAGAACACACACTGTGGTTTGCGTTAATTTTTAAGAGCCCCGGACTCTGAGGGAGTTTTCCAAGTCTTTTTCATGCCGGAAGGGTGATTACCCACAGGTTAAGGACCACTGGGCTGGTAGCTGACGGAGGATCGAGTCTACCATTAAAAATAATAGGAAAAGGGAAGTCATAATACCATGGCGCTGAAACAATTTCCAAACAGCCCGTTGCACCGTGGCTGGAATAATTCTCAAATAACCCACGATACCGTGGCAGGAATAATTCTCAAATAACCCACGATACTGTGGCTGGAATAATTCTCAAATAACCCATGATACCGTGGCTGGAATAATTCTCAAATAACCCACGATACTGTGGCTGGAATAATTCTCAAATAACCCACGATACTGTGGCTGGAATAATTCTCAAATAACCCACGATACCGTGACTGGAATAATTCTCAAGTAATCCACACTTTGTAGAGGAAATCTTGGGCGATATTTCGGTCCCATCATCAAATCAGTCGTAGCTTCTTAATGGTCTAGGACGGACCGAAACGTCGTTTATAGCGTTTCTCTAAGTATGGTAAATTATACACTTGAAAATGTAAGTACCTGACAGTGTCTCACCTAAAAATGATTCCCTTCTTAGTAAGAGCTTTGGAGAGCTTCAGAGTGTGATCAAAGTGGACATCGGAGTCTGCTGTACCGTGAACCAAGAGCACCGTGCGGTTCTTGAAGCTGGAAGCTCTTAACAGCAAAGAGCTCTCTTCGTAGCCTCTGTAATTGCCCCCTGGAACCACTCTCGCTGTACCCATGTATTTCTCCGCGTAGTACGACGCTGTAGGAGATAATACAGCTGTAGAATATATGTAGAATATGCAAATAGAACACACAATGCAGGTTACAGCGTTTGGCTTTGAAGATATTCCGTCCATAATTGATAAAATCCCGGAATAAACAGCCAAGACGTATCGTCAAAAATCTAAAATCCCTGGTGGGCGAAAAGTTCCCACAATAAGACGCTAAAACTCTCATTGTGTATATAATACACTGTAAGTAAGAATGTATCCCTTTAAATAAAACACCAGACTGTATCCCCTTAAATAAAACACCATCAGAATGTATCCCTTTAAATAAAACACCAGAAGGTATCCCTTTAAATAAAACACCAGAATGTATCCCCTTAAATAAAACACCATCAGAATGTATCCCTTTAAATAAAACACCAGAAGGTATCCCTTTAAATAAAACACCAGAAGGTATCCCTTTAAATAAAACACCAGAAGGTATCCCTTTAAATAAAACACCAGAAGGTATCCCTTTAAATAAAACGCCAGAAGGTATCCCTTTAAATAAAACGCCAGAAGGTATCCCTTTAAATAAAATACCAGAAGGTATCCCTATAAATAAAACACCAGAAGTTATTCCTTAAAACACCACCGGAAGGTATCCCCTTAAATAAAACACCACCGGAAGGTATCCCCTTAAATAAAACACCACCGGAAGGTATCCCCTTAAATAAAACACCACCGGAAGGTATCCCCTTAAATAAAACACCACCGGAAGGTATCCCCTTAAATAAAATACCAGAAGGTATCCCATTAAATAAAACACCACCAGAAGGTATCCCCTTAAAACACGATCAGACGGTACTTTCCTGACTAATAAAACACAAGTAAGCAGAGAACTTACCGTACAAGGACCAGTCAGTGACGGGGTTGACAGCGGCCACGCAGGCCAGCATCCTGTCAATGTCGTGGGCCAAGAGTCTGGCCGCATTGTACCCGCTGTGACCCCAGCCGTAGGCGGCCACCCTGGCCACGTCCAGGAACTCCAATTTCTCCAGCAGCGACCTGAAGAGGATCTCAATTTGAAGTCGAAAGTCTGTGCCCACAAAATTCTTTTCCGTTTTTAATTTTCTTTTTTCACAAGAATTTGGAAAGAGATATAGAGATGCAGTTTCTTGCATTTTTTTTTTAAGAAATGTACTATTTTTTAAGAAATGCACTATTTTTTAGAAATACTATTTTTTAAGAAATGTACTATTTTTTAAGAAATGCACTATTTTTTAAGAAATGTACTATTTTTTAAGAAATGTACTATTTTTAAGAAATGTACTATTTTTTAAGAAATGTACTATTTTTTAAGAAATGTACTATTTTTTAAGAAATGTACTATTTTTTAAGAAATGTACTATTTTTTAAGAAATGTACTATTTTTTAAGAAATGTACTATTTTTTAAGAAATGTACTATTTTTTAAGAAATGTACTATTTTTTAAGAAATGTACTATTTTTTAAGAAATGTACTATTTTTTAAGAAATGTACTATTTTTTAAGAAATGAGCTTTTTTTTTTAAGAAATATTTTAAGAATTCTAGAAAATTATTAAAAATTCTGAAAATATGTAATCATGATTTTTTTTTCTCCCCCTTTTACGCAAAAAAATGATTTCCGTAAAATTTTGGTTACAGTTCCTTTATTTTAAAGTAAAAAAAAATTAATCATGTACTTTAATGCGCGGATTTCAATTTTTGTTGTTAGTTTGAAGCCAAAATATATTGAACAAAAAATTTTGTCCACAAAATCCTTTTCCAATTTCAATTTTTTATAACGAACAAAAAAGGCACTATACTGTGTCTGGAATAATAAACAAACAAACCAGACAGAGAGAGAAATCACGACGACGTTTCGGGCCAACGTTTCTCTCATATGTGAGAGAAAATTAATTTTTCAACCTATAACTGAATAAAATTCTATACAGTATTACGGTTGCCTAATATTTTCACGGCGAGACCTGTTAAGACCGAGCCCCGGGGGGCGCTGACCCCCGAAACCTTCTCCAGGTATACAGATACAGGCTGAGACGACGCACCTCACTACAGCGAGGTGGTCGTTGGCCTCCAGCTCCCCCAGCCTCCAGGCAGGCATGTACATGAGTCCTAGCTCTTGGCCTCCAGCTCCTCGCACGTCCACTTCCATCGCTACCCACGACCTGCAAGACAGACGAGGTGGTAGAGGTCGTTCCGTGCTGGAAGAAATCACTTGGATTATGGAGGAAATTACGAAAGAGAGAGAGAGAGAGAGAGAGAGAGAGAGAGAGAGAGAGAGAGGGAGAGAGAGAGAGAGAGAGAGAGAGAGAGAGAGAGAGAGAGAGAGAGAGTTGTCGACACGGATTTATAAACTTTTTTTATTATTAACACATCGGCCGTTTCCCACCAAGGCAGGGTGGCCCGAAAAAGAAAAACTTTCACCATCATTCACTCCATCACTGTCTTGCCAGAGGCGTGCTTACACTACAGTTATAAAACTACAATATTAATACCCCTCCTTTATAAATTCTACTTTAATAGTTGAAATGACAAGTCGTAGGCATCTACAGTCTACACTAACCGTCTACCAGACTCGCGAAACATCGTAAGAACGTTTAGCTCAAGAACCGCTCTCTCATTCACACACACACACACACACACACACACACACACACACACACACACACACACACACACACACACACACACACACACACACACACACACACACACACACATACACACACACACACACATACACACACACACATACATACACACACACACACACACACACACACACACACACACACACACACACACATACACACACACACACACACACACAGCTAAGAGAACGTACTTGTTAGAAGCTAGGTAGGTTCCCCAGTCAACGTTCCACTTGTGATTGACTCTCTGGTCCCCAGGAACGCCTGCCACGCTCACCACCACCGGGTAGATGAACGCCTCCTCCTCCGTGAACTCCGGGGGAATACTGAGACGCACCTGAGAGTAAATGACGAAACAGATGACGAAATGACGAATTAGATGACGAAACAGATGACGAAATGACGAATTAGATGACGAATTAGATGACGAATTAGATGACGAATTAGATGACGAAATAGATGGCGAAATAGATGGCGAAATAGATGAATTAGATGATGAATTAATTACGAAACATATGGCGAAATAGATGAATTAGATGACGAAATAGATGAATTAGATGTGGTGAGCAACTCCCAACCTTAGATACTCTATAAGAGAAACTCGGAAAAAACAACTGTTACACAGTTAGTCTCGAATAACGATAAATCGAGCCCACACTGGCTATGGACCAACCCTACGGGTTTACCGCTTCTTGAAGGAGATGAAGTAATTTATTTTGTAGGCGATTATTGTTGATGAAGAAAGCTAAATAACTGGACTCCCAGGTAAATTCCATTATTATTATAATTATTATTATTGTTATTATTATTATTATGCAGTTGTATTTCAATAATAGCAATAATATAATGTAAATTTTTTAATAATTCATTCATTTTATTATTAATATTAGTGGTACTAGTAATAATAATTTGTATTTCAATAATAGTAATATAATTTTGGTAGTAAATTTTTACTTAAAGAATAATTTATTTCAGTAACAATAACCGTAATATAATCTTGGTAGTAAATTTTTAATTTAGTAAGAATAATTTATTAATTTTATTATGTAAACCCGTAGGGGTCATTTCAGGGCAGGGAATGGTTTAACTCTGATCCCCCGTGGCCAAACAAAATGACCCTGGGCTAAAACGAAACGAAAAAAAATCACTTCCAGGCCATAGCGGTGTAGGCTCGACCCACCGTCTCCAGATAAAAACCTCAAGCTCTAACCTGAGCCACGAAGCCTCCTTCAAGTTGAACCCTGTAATGTTTCCGTGTAGGCCAAGCCATGGCATCGCTACGACACTGTAGGTCGGTGTTGTTGTCGATGTACAGAAGGACCTCCTCCTCCAGGAGGGAGTAGAGGATGGTGTGAGGCACTCCAGGACCCTCACACTCCAGCACCACCTGCAGCCACACCCACAGGAGGGGTTATGTATACTCAAAAAAAAAATGTGAAAAAATGTAGGAGTTACCCTTCAAATCGTTCTTATTTTCTGTCTATATACATCTACATTTGTCTATATATCTGTCTCTACATCTCAATATTTTTGGGCAGTACTAGTAGTACGGTTTTTTTTTTATAATAGGGGACCCCTATTTTTTGAGGGTCCTTTAAATCCAAAATCTGTGGCAAAGTTTTATTTTCAGACTTAAGTCTCACTTTCACGGAGACTTAGCCGGTGATTCCTCGGGCAACAAAGGGTCATATTCACGGGGTTTATTTACGGCCCAGACGCCCCTAATGACGCCGGTCTGAGAGAAGCCAAGACGGTTCTAAAGGGCGTAAGCCTCGCCTGTAGTGTTGTGATAATGTGAAATAGGTCCGTGAGGGAGGAGGAGGAAGAAGAAGAGGAGGAGGAGGAGGAGGAGGAAAGACAAAAGGAAAAGTTGAGAGAGAGAGAGGAAGGAAGAAGAGCAGTAGGAAGAGGAGAAGTAGGGGCAAGGAAGTACTAGAAACAAGGAAGAGGAGCAGGGGAAGGAAATAATAGATAGAGAAAAAGCAAAAAGGAAGGTACAAAGGAAAGAGGAGATGATGGAAGGTTGAAGGAAATGGGAAGGATGGTGAATATATATATATATATATATATATATATATAATATATATATATATATATATATATATATATATATATATATATATATATATATTATAGAGAGAGAGAGGAAAAATAAGAAAAAATTACTTAAAAGGAACAAATATAATAAAAACAGACATGGTAAAAGAGGAATAAAGAGCAAAAAGAGATATAAAGAGGAAAAAGAATGTGTTAACCTCACCTCACTGTGCAATAACCTCACCTCACTGTACAATAACCTCACCTCACTGTGCAATAACCTCACCTCACTGTGCAATAACCTCACCTCACTGTGCAATAACCTCACCTCACTGTGCAATAACCTCACCTCACTGTACAATAACCTCACCTCACTGTGCAATAACCTCACCTCACTGTACAATAACCTCACCTCACTGTACAATAACCTCACCTCACTGTGCAATAACCTCACCTCACTGTGCAATAACCTCACCTCACTGTGCAATAACCTCACCTCACTGTGCAATAACCTCACCTCACTGTACAATAACCTCACCTCACTGTACAATAACCTCACCTCACTGTGCAATAACCTCACCTCACTGTGCAATAACCTCACCTCACTGTACAATAACCTCACCTCACTGTACAATAACCTCACCTCACTGTGCAATAACCTCACCTCACTGTGCAATAACCTCACCTCACTGTGCAATAACCTCACCTCACTGTGCAATAACCTCACCTCACTGTGCAATAACCTCACCTCACTGTGCAATAACCTCACCTCACTGTGCAATAACCTCACCTCACTGTGCAATAACCTCACCTCACTGTACAATAACCTCACCTCACTGTGCAATAACCTCACCTCACTGTGCAATAACCTCACCTCACTGTACAATAACCTCACCTCACTGTGCAATAACCTCACCTCACTGTGCAATAACCTCACCTCACTGTGCAATAACCTCACCTCACTGTGCAATAACCTCACCTCACTGTACAATAACCTCACCTCACTGTGCAATAACCTCACCTCACTGTACAATAACCTCACCTCACTGTGCAATAACCTCACCTCACTGTGCAATAACCTCACCTCACTGTGCAATAACCTCACCTAACTGTACAATAACCTCACCTCACTGTACAATAACCTCACCTCACTGTGCAATAACCTCACCTCACTGTGCAATAACCTCACCTCACTGTGCAATAACCTCACCTCACTGTGCAATAACCTCACCTCACTGTGCAATAACCTCACCTCACTGTGCAATAACCTCACCTCACTGTGCAATAACCTCACCTCACTGTGCAATAACCTCACCTCACTGTGCAATAACCTCACCTCACTGTGCAATAACCTCACCTCACTGTACAATAACCTCACCTAACTGTGCAATAACCTCACCTCACTGTACAATAACCTCACCTCACTGTGCAATAACCTCACCTCACTGTACAATAACCTCACCTCACTGTGCAATAACCTCACCTCACTGTACAATAACCTCACCTCACTGTACAATAACCTCACCTCACTGTGCAATAACCTCACCTCACTGTACAATAACCTCACCTCACTGTACAATAACCTCACCTCACTGTGCAATAACCTCACCTCACTGTGCAATAACCTCACCTCACTGTGCAATAACCTCACCTCACTGTGCAATAACCTCACCTCACTGTGCAATAACCTCACCTCACTGTGCAATAACCTCACCTCACTGTGCAATAACCTCACCTCACTGTACAATAACCTCACCTCACTGTGCAATAACCTCACCTCACTGTACAATAACCTCACCTCACTGCAATAACCTCACCCCACTGTGCAATAACCTCACCTCACTGTGCAATAACCTCACCTCACTGTGCAATAACCTCACCTCACTGTGCAATAACCTCACCTCACTGTGCAATAACCTCACCTCACTGTGCAATAACCTCACCTCACTGTGCAATAACCTCACCTCACTGTGCAATAACCTCACCTCACTGTGCAATAACCTCACCTCACTGTACAATAACCTCACCTCACTGTGCAATAACCTCACCTCACTGTGCAATAACCTCACCTCACTGTGCAATAACCTCACCTCACTGTGCAATAACCTCACCTCACTGTGCAATAACCTCACCTCACTGTGCAATAACCTCACCTCACTGTGCAATAACCTCACCTCACTGTGCAATAACCTCACCTCACTGTACAATAACCTCACCTCACTGTGCAATAACCTCACCTCACTGTGCAATAACCTCACCTCACTGTACAATAACCTCACCTCACTGTACAATAACCTCACCTCACTGTGCAATAACCTCACCTCACTGTGCAATAACCTCACCTCACTGTGCAATAACCTCATCTCACTGTGCAATAACCTCACCTCACTGTGCAATAACCTCACCTCACTGTGCAATAACCTCACCTCACTGTGCAATAACCTCACCTCACTGTGCAATAACCTCACCTCACTGTACAATAACCTCACCTCACTGTACAATAACCTCACCTCACTGTGCAATAACCTCACCTCACTGTACAATAACCTCCTCACTTTGCAATAACCTCACCTCAGTGTGCAATAACCTCCTCACTGTGCAATAACCTCACCTCACTGTACAATCACCTCGCATCACTGTGCAATCACCTCACTGTGCAATCACCTCACTGTGCAATCACCTCACTGTGCAATCACCTCACCTCACTGTGCAATCACCTCACCTCACTGTGCAATCACCTCACCTCACTGTGTAATCACCTCACCTCACTGTGCAGTCACCTCCTCACTGTGCAATCACCTCACTGTGCAATCACCTCACCTCACTGTACAATCATCTCACCTCACTGTACAATCACCTCACCTCACTGTACAATCACCTCACCTCACTGTACAATCACCTCACTGTACAATCACCTCACCTCATTAAAGTTATCAGGTGCCAGGTGAGGGGTGAAGTGCCTGCAGGCTGGGGTGCTGTAGTTAAGGTGACAGGTGAGACACTCCTGAAGACGCGGCGTAGGTGCCTTCACGTCTGTCACCCGCCATAGGTGACGCTCACCTATTTCCGTCTCTGTGTTGGCCACGTAGTACCTGCCGACAGCACCTGAGTCTCAGCAGCACCCACTCTTGAGAATAAAGAGTTTTTGATTCGGGGGGTTGGAGCTTATTTCCCTCTCTCAATCCCCAGGAATTGTGTGGCCCTTACAGGTTTAGCTCTTCCCAGTAATAAGAATAATACACAGGTTGAACAGTGATATATACACCGAGGTGTGTGTGTATATATATTAGTGTATATGTAGTGAAGTGTATAACTTCCATTGTATATTCTGTATATGAGCTTTGAATGTCTAAGTATACATATACAGAGGGTATGTATCTCTAGTCTGTATACAACGAGAGATGTATATCTCTCAGTATATGTATAAAGAAGGGCATGTGTCTGGTCTGTATATACAGAAAGATGTATCTGTGTTTGTGTGTGTATATATGCCAGGGAAACAGTGCACCCAACAACGAAAGAAGAGGCACATGTCAGGTGTGCGGAGAGTTTCGAGCACGCAACAGGGATGGTCGCATTCGTGCACACAATGGGTGTGCGGGATCACATATGCCCCCAGCAGAGAGCAGCCCACAGCCTCCACAGGCAGATGACAATTCCAATGGCAACCTCCTCACTTACGATAACCTTCTGTTGGCATTCAAATCCACTGCTAACAGTACCCTATCCCACATCCCTAAAGCGGCTCGCCCATATGCAGCAGGGAAATTCGCAGACCTTCTTAAGCAGGTGAATGGAGGTTCCACCAACTTAGAAGCCCGAGGCACCATCCAAGCATGGCGCAACCTGCTCCTGTTCGGCAATGTCTGTCTTGCAGCTCCTGAGAGACGAGGCAAACTGCTAACCACGTCAGTTATCAAGGCAGTGCGCAACTACCCAAGAACGGATAATTGAGTCCCTCTGCCCCATCATCGTAGGAATCACAAAGGTAGACCCAAGAAAAGTCCCACTGAAAACGAGAAAATTTGCGCACAGGTTAGCAAAAAAATTGAAGAAGGTACCACAGTGGGAGCAATCCGAATAATTACAAGTGACGACACTGTAGCCCCCAAAGATGAGACCAAAACCCAAGCACCAGAGACAAGCATCCAACCATGGACACCATAGCCATCAACAACAACCCTGAGGAAGACCCCATCACTGAACAATTAATTTTGCTAGAATCGGAAGTATATAAGGCGATTGTGTCATTTCCTGTAGGATCTGCAGGAGGTTACACTGGAATTCGACCTCAGCACCTCAAGGAGATGGTAAATCCAGTACTCGGTGCATCTGCATCACTTCTTCTCACAGAGTTAACTTTTGCCAACAACTGCCTGGCTGGACGAATCCCAGAAGAAATTAAACCTTTCTTTTTTGGAGCCTCACTGTGTGCGTTGAAGAAGGATGGGGGAATCAGACCCATTGCGGTTGGAAACACTCTTCGCCGTCTCGTTGCCAAAGCAGCAGTAAGAAACATTCGCCTAGAAGCTGCCAGTTTACTCCAGCCACACCAACTGGGCTTTGGGGTCTCTCAAGGCAGTGAAGCTGCAGCTCATGCGGCAAGGGCCTACATCAGGTACCTACCAGAAGACAAGGCCATAGTCAAACTTGATTTTAGAAATGCCTTTAATATGGTAAAGAGAGATGCTGTCTTGCCAGCTGTTCGGGATCGCTTCCCCAGTCTTTTTCCCTTCATTTCAGCCTGCTACAGCAAACCCTCAATTCTTTTGTTTGGAGAACATGAAATTCTCTCATCAGAAGGTGTTCAGCAGGGTGACCCACTAGCTCCACTTCTCTTCTGCTTGGCAGTAAGAGAACTAACTTCCAGCCTATGCAGTGAGCTCAACATCTGGTACCTGGATGATGGCACTCTGGCAGGTACTGAAGAGTCCCTGGTAGGGGACCTACAACTGGTGAAAACACAGGGAGAAGACTTGGGACTCATCCTCAATCCCTCCAAGTGTGAAATCATCACAGCGAACCAGGAAATAATCAATGCTGTGCGAAGAATCCTCCCAGAAGTCTCTACTACCACTCCGTCCAACAGTACCCTCCTGGGAGCACCGCTGGGTCACCAGGCCATCGACACAGTCCTCAAGGACAAATTGAATGACCTGATGAGAATGGAGGAGAGAATAAGCAATCTTGATGCCCATGATGCTCTATATCTCCTCACAAGGTGCCTTACTATTCCAAGACTCACTCACTTCCTGAGGTGTGCACCCTCTTTTGACAACCCAACACTCCACGAATATGACGCACACGTGAGGTCAACCCTTAAGAAGGCACTGAACCTGTCACTAGAGGATCAGCAATGGGATCAGGCAACCCTCCCAGTACGACTGGGAGGTATAGGGGTACGCAAAGCAACGCATGTTGCTTTACCTGCTTTTCTGTCTTCGTGTTTGGCTTCCAGTGCATTAGTCAAGAAGATTGTTCCCGAACGCTTGAGAGACGTGGTAGGAGCCCAAGACCCCAGGTTTACTGAAGCAGCGATTCGGTGGGACACCCTTACAGATTCCTCCAGTAGACCAGCTCCTCCCAAAGAACACAAACAGTCCCACTGGGACAAACCGATCATGGAAAAAATCGCCAACACAGTGCTCTCCAACGCCTCAGGAAAGGACAAAGCTCGTCTCCTGGCAGTGAAGGCACCACACTCAGGAGATTTCCTGTTAGCTGTTCCCAATTCCTCCTTGGGCACTCGACTAGACCCACAGGCCATTCGGATTGGTGTTGCTCTTCGCCTAGCCGTCCCCATCCTCACCGAACATAGGTGTATTTGCGGCAGGGCGACAGCTGATCAATTCGGACTTCATGGTCTCGTGTGTCACACAGCAGAAGGGAAGTATGCCAGGCATGAGGAGGTCAATGACATCATAAAGAGAAGCCTCGCCACAGCCCAGTGCCCAGCTCAACGGGAACCCCAAGTGCAGAGGTCTGATGGAAGTCAAAAGCGTCCTAATGGAGCCACTATGCTACCTTGGAAGGATGGAAAGCAGATTGCCTGGGACTACACATGCGCCGCCACATTGGCAGACACCTACTTGCCATACTCCGTAGTGGAAGGGGGTGGAGCTGCCAGCCACAGGGAGACCCAGAAGATCCGCAAATATGAAGACCTTCCCCCTTGCTATAACTTCATCCGAATAGGGTCGGAGACACTTGGAGCATGGAGCAAGTGTGCTCTAAAGTTCCTAATAGAGCTGGGTGAAAAGCTCATCATAGAAACAAAGGACCACAGGGCGACCAGCTTCCTCTTTCAGAGACTCAGTTTTGCGATCCAGAGAGGAAATGCCTGCAGCATTCTGGGCACGCGGGCCACCGCCGGGGAGCTGGACGAAGTATTCGAGATGTAGCTCTGAGTTACCTATGTTGTTTTACTTTCTATCGTATTTTTGTGAATGTTTTGTCAATGCATTTTGTCTTTAAATAAAATATATATAAAATATAGGGGGTGGTAGGAGAAAATTCTCAAACAGCTTCAGGGAGAACCTTGAGTTTTCCCTGAAGCAAGTTTATTCTTTTCTCTGAGGACGAGGGTCCCTATAACAGTTCTAGAGGTGGTACCTCCCTATATATTATATATATATATATATATATATATATATATATATATATATATATATATATTATAGGATGGGGTCCACCTCTGGTGTAAATTGTGGGACCCATAGCCTCGGAGAAGTGGATAAAAAGGCTTCAAGGAAGAATATATATATATATATATATATATATATATATATATATATATATATATATATATATATATATATGACACACACACACACTTACACGTGATGGTTCTGTGTATCCCATCCAACAATAGAGAACACACTGTATGAGCCAAAAGTGACAGGTATGGTGTGCCTGGCTTCAGTGCTGCCCTGGTGGATGTGAGGGTAGGTGCCCGAAGTGCTGTCCAGGAGAGGAGCGATGCCCACAAAGACGGTGCCATTGAGGGCGAAGAGTGGCGTCTCCTCTACCGTGGCCCACCGCTGTGGCCCACTCTCTTCTACGAAAAGCTGCAAAGCAGAGAAGAAATTATTTTTTAAGTAATAATAATCGCGTTAAAAGCTAGGAAAAGTTTATATGTAGGGAAAGAGGATTGTGTGGTTCCGTGAACTAGAACCTCACGAGTTTTCGCTCACCATGAGGCGGGCCAAACCAGCATGGGTTCGACTCCTTGGCTAATCGCAGTGTTGTTATTGATATATATATATATATATATATATATATATATATATATATATACATATAGCCTATTTTCTTCTACATAAATGTATTTTTACTAGAAATGTCGTAATTTTAGGTAAAATTTTTAAATTTTCTTGTCAGAGAAAAGTCATGTAGTGGATTAGGTGAGTATCGAAGGAAATACAGATGGTGTAAGAGAAGAGTTCGATCTATGAATACATGTAAACAATCAGTATTAAAGGGGGGGGGACGTAAGGTGTCGCAATTTTGCGACAGGTGTAACCCCTCAACCCACAGTCATGGAGATGGTATTGCGTCAATCAGTACAATATACTTTGGTTCAGTTATTGAAACTTGTCGCCTACACAGTAGGCTGAGTGCTCTGAACACCGGGATGCGGGGAATTAAAACCCTGAATTGCCTGAAAGGCAATGAGTCCAAAACTGTGACCAAGGGGAAGAGGGTGAAGGACGAAACCCGGATGATAGCAGCAGTGATCGCATCTAAGGTCTGTTGTGATGACTGTCCTGTGAGCAGTCCCACGTCACTCAGTCAAGACGGTCACGTACCCAGTACCAGCATCTGGCTTATCTTTATCAATGTATAGAGAAGTAGCATTGAATATGCGCTAAAGAGGAGAGATATGAGACTTCGTTGATGGAAGGAGGGAGGGGCATACACAGACTGTGGTATATCAAGGTGGCAGAGCAGGGTAAACGGAAAGGGGAGGGTGAACTGAAAGGAAAGGGAACTGAAAGGGAAGGATGCACCGAGAGGGAAGGGGGAATTCAGGGAGAGATTCAGTAAGAGCACACAGGCCAACAGGAGAGGGATGCAGTAATGATAGACGAGAGGATCGTAGGTGGCAGTTCCATCAATATACTGACGTCGATTTCAGGACTCAACGCCCCCGTGGTCACGTGTCAGACCAGGTCTCCTGGCTGATGCACTGATCAGTGAGGCTGTTGGCGCTCGGTACATGCAGTCTATATGGACACACAGCGCCGAAGAGTTTAGAAACGTATTCAACTAGAAATCAAAGGAAATCAGTCTAGAATACCACTTCTACGGGTCTTAGACCATACATTCTAGCTAGTTTAGGAGTTGCTAGAAGTTGAAATAGTTTTTCTCTCCCTGGTGTAAGCTTTTCAAGACTTTGTTATGCCTTAGTGATTCAGAGGAGTCACGATTATTAAGAAGTTTCAGTTAAACTGATTTGTAGTCAGCGGCATCTACTGAGTTGTGGAGACAGGTGATTAAAGTTGCTAGAACTAGTATTGCTAGTCACAACCTACACATGGAAGAGAGAAGATTATGACGACGTTTTGGTCCGACTTGAACCATTTACAAGTCACACCAACACAAGAAGGTGAGAGAGCTAGTATATATAGGAGAGGAGGACAGGGATGGGACGAAGAAAGGAAGAAAGTGGAGAAGTAGTGGTAGAGAGAATGCTGGTAGTGGTGGTAGAGAGAATGCTGGTAGTGGTGGTGGTTGTACAGATACTATTTTTTTTGTTTTTACTACTGCAAATTATTGCAAGCTGATGCTAGTATAGTGTGTGTGTGTATGTGTGTGTGTGTTTGTGTGCGCAGCACGCGCACTCGCGTGTGCTGCGCTTGTTCACTTGTTACTACCACCAGGGGACGTACCTCCTAGCAGCAAGGAGCACATGTACTCATGCTCTCACACTGCTGTGAGAGTACACCCCCACCTCCTTGGTACTCACCTCATCACAGAACCACATAGGGGCGGTGCAGGCGGTGACAACACTAACGTTCTGAGCTCGGTTTCTCCACACCACAGCCACGGTGTCAGCCTCCACCCACGCCACGCCCGTGAAGTAGTGGTCCCTGTGGGCGGCCAAGAATACCCTCAGCACCTTATCACAGCTACACTGACCTCACACCCACTCCAGCCTCCACTCTCTCTCTCTCTCTCTCTCTCTCTCTCTCTCTCTCTCTCAACAACAAACCACCACAAAGCAAGGGGGAGGTGAAGGACAAGGGAAGGGTAATTTAAAGGTAGTCATTTAAAGGCATACAGAAGCACTGGTCACCGTCTCCTTCTAACCCTTTATTACACTTTTATTAGAGGGCAAAAATGAAATTACTTAAGGGACAGGTAGTAAATATGTTTGTCCATCAGAAAGGGGAAAAGTGGAATGGGAAAAGGAGAGAGAAAAGAACAGGGAGGAGGGGAAAAATAATTAGAGGAAAAGGGGGGGGAGATAGCCAAAATTGGTGGAAATGTATTTTCTTCCAGCATTTCTTCAGCTGAAGGGCTCTTGATCCGAGGAAATGGAGCTACCTTCCCCTTTCCTCGGTTCATACCTGATTTCCACCTATCCCCAAAGGTGTTGTCTATTCTTTATGGACTTGGACAGGTGGATAGTAATCACATAAGTGGAGTGACTGAATGGCTAGTTAGACATTTAAGTTAACTGCAGGGCTAGTTTGCCTTATGGTTAGACGGAGGGGTAGTTAGTTAGGTTTAAATTTAACTAGAGAAAAGGTTAGTTCTACATTTGGCTAGCTAAGGGACTTGTTAAATGTGGGCAAGTTTAATAAGGGGCATGTTAGCTAAGGGATGGTTAGCTAAAGGTCTAGCTAGTTTTTTCTGGCTTCCTATGGGTTTGTCTAGCTGGAGAGGTTGCTATTTAAAAGGCTATTTAACTAGAAAACTGGTAAAAGTGGAGTTTTGCTAAGGGTATGCTTAACTAGAAATCGAATTAGCTAACAGTTTACTGCCTACCTAGGCGCTGACTAGATGAGGACCTAGAAGGGATGACTAGAAAGCTGGTTAGCTAAGAGCGAGGGAGAGGGGGGCAGCAGCCTAAACTAGTTACTAGGCATCATTTACAGATCTAATTTACTTTCCCTCTTTCATATCTAGAAAACTACAATTAGCTAATATTCCAGCTGCCGGGATAGTCATAAGTTAGCCATCTGGGTGGTTCCCGTCTGCCTGGCTGGCTTCCTGACTCGCTTCATGGCTGAGGTGTCTAGCTGGCTGACCGTCTCGGCATCAGCCGCAACACACCGCCACAACCACAACTAAAACACTCACAACACCACGATCACAACAACGAGACAGTTGGTGTGGGAAGAAGACAAACCACACATCCACTGACTGGTCTTTGACTCTCGTGGGAGGCTTGAGGTCTTGTGGAGAAGGTGGGGAAGAGTGGTCCAGCTCCACCACCCATAGCGTCGCCGTCGGGTTGGCAGTGTCTACCTGAAGAGAGAACACACATACAAAGACGGTAAGGTTTAAATACTAAAGTAACTACAGAGAGCTTTGATCAAATTCGACGGTCTCTTTAATATAGTTGTATATGAAGTGGGTTCTTATAAAGCTGTATAAAAGCACAACCCGCACATAGGAGAGAGAAGCTTACCTTCCGACTTGGACTATTTAAGTGCGGGTTGTGTGTGTTGTTCCAGTCACGGTATTGTGCCTTTTTGGTTTTTATTGCTCCTGTATAAAGTGAGATTTTTTTTATAAATGTGATTGAATAAGTTCATCCAAAATTGAATAGGTCATATCATGAAGGTCTTTCCACTGGTTTCTCGGATTTGGATGATCCATTTCAATTGCATTTACAAAAGATGCACCATGTGGAGAGATTTGTAAGAGAGCTGTCAGAATACGTACTTGTTCCACACTATAATAACTACACAGCAAGCTTTATTGGCACAACGTTTCGCTCTGTGTATAACAGTCAATGACTTGCAGAGATAAAACCTACACAGACCGAAACGTTGACTAGTTACAAACCTGTTATCCAGTGTTTGTCACTTCTTCACAGGTCTTGTCAATACAACAGGCAAACTAACACACTCTAAACATACAAGTACATGATAATACAACACACATATCTCTGGTTACAAAATCTTGCGTCAGTTTCAAACAACTTTTAAGTGGTTGGCATTGAAGGAACCCCCAAAAAATCCGTAGATTCAGACAGTCATAGGCAAAGCAACAGACACTGTGATTAGTAGTGTTATAACTAGCAGCGAGTATTTATACCTAGCTGAGAGTGGTATATCTAGCAGTGAGTGGTTTATAGCTATCAATGAGTGGTTTATAACTAGCAGTGAGTTATAGCTAGCACTGAGTGGCATAACTAGTAGTGTTTTAGCTAGCAGTGAGTAGTATAACTAGCAGTGAGTTATAGCTATCAATGAGTGGTATAACTGCCTTCGTGTGGTATAACTACCAGTGAGTGGTATAACTACAAGTAGTGGTATAACTAGCAGTAGTGGTATAACTACAAGTAGTGGTATAACTACCAGTGAGTGGTATAATTACCAGTGAGTGGTATAACTACAAGTAGTGGTATAACTACAAGTAGTGGTATAACTACAAGTAGAGGTATAACTACAAGTAGAGGTATAACTACAAGTAGTGGTATAACTACAAGTAGTGGTATAACTACAAGTAGTGGTATAACTACAAGTAGTGGTATAACTACAAGTAGTGGTATAACTACAAGTAGTGGTATAACTACAAGTAGTGGTATAACTACAAGTAGTGGTATAACTACCAGTGAGTGGTATAATTACTAGTGAGTAGTATAACTACCAGTCTGATATGCATAGGCGAATGTTCCATCCTTGCAAGACGGGCGTGTTGCCCATTGTGTCCGATATTTTGTCCGCTCTGATGATCTTCACGATCCTTCAGCGTCACCAGAGGTTCATTAGATCGCCACCCCTTTTCTACGTCCCTTTGCTCTTCGTATTCACTCTTCCCTTCTCTTCATTTACCTCCTTTATATGTCCGTCCAGCATCTAACTTTTCTCTTCTCTCTTGGGTAGTTCCGACGATTCGTGGCTGATCTTCCTCATTTCCGTGTGCTTCCCATTCCCCTTTTCTTAACCACTTACGATCTCATTCGCAGCCGTTGCAATTCACACTGATGGTTCTAAATCCTCTGTAGGTGTCGAGTTTGCAGTAGATTCTCCGGACAGTTATACGAGGTTATTTAGTCTTAGCTAGCATTTTCACTGTTAAGTTGTATGCAGTTCTCATGGCTGCTATACATAAACCATGGTACGGGTGGGATTGAATTCGCGGCAAGTGAGTTGCAAAATTCCAGGCCAGCGCTATACATGTTGCATCCCTGCCTACCTCAACATTCACAGTAGTTTCAGACTTTACTACATTGCAGGCTGTAAAAAAAACATTATCCTCATCCCCTCGTTCTTCGTATACAACTCTGGTTGAGCCGCATTTCCAGTATAATCAAAGATATAATATCTTTATTTCTTACCAGTACATGTACAAGGTATACAGACCATACCTGACATCAATGACATACTACTATATAGAAAGCTGCTTGTTATGCTGAGCATTTAGGGCAAATTAGGTCAGTTTTGTCCGAGGATGCGACCCACACCAATCGACTAACACCCAGGTACCTATTTTACTGATAGGTGAACATAGACAACCGGTGTAAGGAAACACATCCGTCCGGGTTCTATTCCACCCTCGCTTGGAATAGAACCCTGACGCTCACCGTGTGAAGCGAGAACTTTAGCCACCAGGTCACGGGGTACCGTTAGGTCCCGCTGGGTCCCTGGATTTGTGAATGTTCGGAGCAACGAGCAGGACGACTCTGCATCGCGGTCAGGTGTCCATGTTATTTCATACAGGGGCATTCCATCCTCAGACTGTTTTGCAGCAATCTCTAAGACAAGTTCGCAACTGTTGGCAGCAACGATGGTCTGATTTATCCATAATAGATTGCATTCTGTCAAACCTTGTTTGGGTTTCTGATCTTATTAATGTCGTGTTTGGGAGACTACTCTCTCGCCTCTACATTTCGGACACACGTCTCGCTCATGGCTATCTCACAGAGAAACTCTCAGCAACGCTCTGTGAAAACTATTAAGATCCTTTGTAAGTTCATCTGTTTCCTGTCTATCAGCGAGCAGCGCCGTCACCGCTCTGACACCTTTACTTTTTCTGACCTCGCTGACAGCACCACCTTTGACACGAACTTTTTGACTTTCTGCTTTATTAAACCAACTTTTATTACAGTTTTCCCTTTAGCACTCCCCACTACCCTTACTGACTCTCTGGCGTATCTCTCACTGACTCTCTGGCGTACCTCTCACTGACTCTCTGGCGTACCTCTCACTGACTCTCTGGCGTACCTCTCACTGACTCTATCGTACCTCTCACTGACTCTCTGGCGTACCTCTCACTGACTCTGGCGTACCTCTCGCTATCTGTGGCGTACCTCTCACTGACTCTATCGTACCTCTCACTGACTCTCTGGCGTACCTCTCACTGACTCTGGCGTACCTCTCGCTATCTGTGGCGTACCTCTCACTGACTCTATCGTACCTCTCACTGACTCTCTGGCGTACCTCTCACTGACTCTGGCGTACCTCTCGCTATCTGTGGCGTACCTCTCACTGACTCTATCGTACCTCTCACTGACTCTCTGGCGTACCTTCCACCTCCAGGACTCAAGTCCGGCTAATCGGTTTCCCTGAATCCCTTCATAAATGTTACTTTGCTCACACTCCAACAGCACGTCAAGCCACAAAAATATTCGTCTCCAGTCCCATCTAACACGCACGTGGGCTCACCCCTCCATACGCACAACTGCCTCCACCTTCACCCCATATACGCACCTATTTTCCCCGTTTACAGGCACCCCTGCCCCTTTCCCCTTCATACGCACCTTCGGGTATCTGATGGGGTTATAGGTGGCGTATTTGTCAGTGTAGATAGGGATCCTGGCCTCTCGTACGCCGGAGTCGTTGAAAGTGGCGTAACATAGTCGCGTACCGTCACTGCTTGCCCACACAGCAGACACGGAGTGCAAGATGTACTCTGGTGAATAGCGAGATTAGTGAGATTACTGTGAGATTAGTGAGATTACTCTGAGATTAGTGAGATTACTGTGAGATTAGTGAGATTACTGTGAGATTAGTGAGATTACTGTGAGATTAGTGAGATTAATGTGAGATTAATGTGAGATTAGTGAGATTAATGTGAGATTAGTGAGATTAGTGAGATTACTGTGAGATTACTGTAAAATTGGTGAGATTAGTGAAGCGAATGTGAGTGGTGTGAGATTAGTGAGCCCACTGTAAAATTAATGTCATATTAGTGAGATTACTGTAAAATCAATGAGATTAATGTAAGATTACTGCAAAATAAGTAAGATTGGTGAAACTTTTGTGAGTGGGCTGAGATTAAACTGAGCCCAGTGTAAAAATTAGTGTGCGAGTCCTGTAAAATTTGTGAGATTACTGTGAAACTAGTGTTAGTAGTCTAAGATTAGAGTGAGCCCAGTGTAAAATTAGTGTGAGATTAGTGAGACTGGTGTGAGATTAGTGTGAGATTACTGTAAACTTAGTGGTGTAACTAATGTGAGTGGTCTGAGATTAGAGTAAGCCCAGTGTAATATTAGTGTGAGATTAGAGTTCGAAATTAGTGAGTCAGTATAAAATTTAGAGTGAATTCAGTGTAAGAGTGAGCCCAGTGCAAGATTAGTATCAAATTATTTGAAAATTAAAGTGAGATTAGTTTAAGACGAAGCTGTTATAAGCCTAGTGAGACTAGTGTGAAAGACGGTTGAGATTAGTAAAGCGTGAAAACAGTGTAAGATTAGTGAAAGCGTAGTTTTAGATTAGCGAGATTATTAATTTGTTGTGAAATTAGCGAGTCTAGTGTGAGATTAGTGTGTGTCGAGTGAGATTAGCGTAAGAAAAAGTTTTGCGTGAGATTTGTTAGATAAGTGTGAGGTGTAAGGCTAGTGTGAGATTAGTTTGAATCTAGTGGGAAATTATTGTAAGACTAGCGTAAGATTTGTGTCAGATAAGTGTGGAACTAGTGAGATTAGCTTGATACTAATGATATAACTTTGAAAATACCTTGAGATTAGTTTTAATCTACCGTGGAAATAGTGAGATTAAAGACCATTTTGAGATTAATGTTGACATTATTTTAATAACGTGAGACTAGTGTAAAATAAGTCTGGAATTACTTTGACATTACTTTAAGACTAGCCTGAAACTAGCGAGATTAGTCTGAAATCTCATTAAAAATAGCATGAGATTGTTGGGGAACAGATTCAAAATTGACTTGAGTAAGATTTTGATATTTGTGAGATAAAGATTATGGATTGAGCTGAAATGTTCATATATTTGATACAAAAAATAAGTAAGTCTTCATAAAGAAGGGAAACGATACTGAATAAGTATGAAAAGGAAGAGGAAGAAACGATAGGAAGAGGAGGAGGAGGAGGAAGAGAAAGGTGTTAGAGAAAGATTACCTCGGTACAGATAATCTGTAACGCCGTTAAAAACAACATGGGGCTGGCCAGTCGTCGTGAGACGCGACACCACGGGCGACGTGGGAGATTCCTTGATGTAAATGTCGTTCTCGTAGACCATAACAAGGGAAGCTGCACCTCCTGGCACCCAGGCCACGTGTTGTAGCTCAGGGTGGCCCTCCTGAGACGGGAACGGTGTCACTGACTCCACATGCCTGCAGGAGGGAAGGAGTGTTGTCAGACTCTGGAGGGAGGGTGTGTGATGTCAGGTGATAGTGAGGGGAGGGTGAAGTCACGACAGAATGTACTCCAGCTTAGCGAAAATTTAAGGATCAGTAGTGTGCTGCTGCCCTATGCTAAAGGATAGTTACATAGAATGAACAAAAGCTGTGTTTCTCTGTCATATTACATTATACAGGATGCGATTCCCTGTCTTTTTATATCACACAGCATGGTTCCCTGTCATATTCTATCACACAGCATGGTTCCCTGTCATATTCTATCACGCAGCATGGTTCCCTGTCATATTCCATCACACAGCATGGTTCCCTATCTTACAAAGTGCTGAAATCTGTCAGCCAGAACCTGGGAACTTCAGTATGCCAGGTAATGAAGACACCAAGTATGTCACCCAGAGTCTCATCAGCTGCAGCAACACTTAAGGTTCCGTCCCAGAAGAGATGGCGTTAGTATTATCCGGGAATGATTATCTCAAAATAGATGGCGTTAGTATTATCTGGGAATGATCATCTCTGACCATAGTCTATTAGGATATAGAAATTACCACAGAGTGGGATAATTAAAATAATATTTGTAGAGGACTGGTGAATCAGTGAGATAAACTTGGACTTGACTTATCTAAATTCACTCCTACATTAAAATAGAGCAACGTAGATTTATTATATATCTGAGAGTGGTATAAACCTTGGTAATAAATACCGACAAGTTAGTTTAGAAAGACACGTAAGCAAACACTATGACATATTTATTAGAAAACGTTTCGGTCCTGGGACCTTGATCATAGTGTTTGCTTACGTGTCTTTCTAAACCATATCTGAGAGTACATACTTGTACCTGCCTGGCGACAGTTTAGGCTGACCCAGATGTTGGGTAGGCCTAAGCCGCAGTACATTGTCTTGATTTACAGAGAGGTAAGAATGCTTGGCTAGCTTAGAGGAATATTTAAAAAAAAAGAATAAGAAAATACAGTAAATATAATTTACGTCGAAAATGAATATTCTTTTAAGTACAATCTCTCTCTCTCTCTCTCTCTCTCTCTCTCTCTCTCTCTCTCTCTCTCTCTCTCTCTCTCTCTCTCTCTCTCTCTCTCTAATTTATACTAATGAGGTATTAGAGGCAGAGAAGATACGTTATCACTAATACGTCTTTAAGACGGTGTTATGTGCAGTCTCAGAATTTACAGTAATAAGAGCAGCTTAAGCTCATTTTAATAATTACCTCGATTATTTAGATAATCACGCTATTTGCTGGCATGTTACTGGTGTGTATGAGAGACAGATAGAAATATAGATAGATAGAGAAAAAGAGAGAGAGATTGTATATATATAAATGGTCCAAGTCGGACCGAAACGTCGTCGTAAGCTTCTCTCTTCTATGTGCGGGTTATTTGTGTATCGTTCCAGTCACGGTATTGTGCCTTTTATATATATATATATATATATATATATATATATATATATATATATATATATATATATATATATATATATATATGCAATAAGATCACAGTAAACAGGTGATTTCAGAATATGCAAAACAACCACTGTGAAAGAATAGAGAAATTCCAAGCGCTTTCGTGACTACTCACATTATCAAGGAACAATGAAAGTAAAACATCAAAGGAAGGTATATAAAGGGGTAGCCCACACATCACTATCAGATCCCACAACAAAGAAACACCTGACGCGAGACAGCAGACCCGCCGGCCGAACTAGACAGGTCCTTAATACAACCCACCAACAAACTATTCTACCCAAGGAATAAGAAATTTAAAATATTATTTGTCCAATGTATTATTAAATTCTTCCCAAATTCTATTAATTATAAACGGATCTAATTTATATAAACCAAAGGAAATATTCATATTATTGTCAAAACTGCTTTTTATGAAACAAGATTCAATTATATTCCTGTCGACCATGGACTTGCTTGATACTACTTTCTCAACATTTTGAAAATCAATTGGATGGTTAAAATCTCTTACATGAATAAATAGAGCATTGGAATCTTGTCCAGTTCTAATGCTATATTTATGTTTTAATCTTAGCTCGAGATTTTTACCAGTTTGACCGTAATAAACTTTATCGTAAATTTTACAAGGAATCTTATAGACACATCCATCAGCATTTTGGGGGGAATTATTTATCAAAAGTTTTTTTACTGTATCAAGATTTTTTAATACAACTTTAATATTAAAAGTCTTAAGAAGAGAAGGCATATCAACCAAGTTTTCATGGTAAGAGAGAACCAACATATTTTTAGTTGAATAAGGCTGGTTGTCCCTTTTTGGATTGTAGAAAGTATTTCTAGCAATTTTAAAAGATTTATCAATTACATTTCTTGGGTATTTCAAATCATTACCTATTTCATAAATTTTGGATTTTTCCTCATCTATGAACTCTGGACTACAAATTCGTAAAGCTCTCAAAAACATTGATGAGAAAACAGAAAGTTTAACTCTGTCTTGATGGGAAGAATAATAGTGGACATAGGAACAGCTATTTGTAGGTTTTCTGTAAATTTTAAATTTGAATTCATTATTACCCTTAATAATTAAAACATCTAGAAAAGGCAATGAGTTATTTTCTTCAAATTCAACAGTAAAATTTATAGAATGGGCTAAGCTATTTAATTTGCCAATGAAATGGTGCATATCTACATTTTTGGGCATAAGACACAAAATATCATCAACATATCTGAACCATTTAGCTCTATTAGGGAGGATTGTGTTAAGCAGCCTTGTTTCAAAAAATTCCATGTATAGGTTACTAAGAACAGGTGAAAGAGGATTTCCCTTTGCCATACCAAACTTCTGAGTGTAAAACTTATCATTAAATACAAATTTTGCATCAACAATGCAAAGTTTAATAAGTTTAATGATAGTAGGAACTGGCAATGGTAAATCATAATTAACGAGTTCTTCAGATAAGAAACTTAATAAATCATCAACAGGAACTTTCGTAAACAAGGAAGTAACATCAAAACTAACCATGTTAAAATCATTTAAGTCAGTCAAGGAGCTTAATTAATCAACTAAATCTATGTTGTTTTTAACGTTAAAGTTAGAAATTTTGCCAACAATAGGGCTCAAAATATCAACAAGCCATTTGGATAATTTATATGAAGCTGATCCTATGGAGCTAATAATTGGTCTGACTGGATTCCCTGGTTTGTGTGTTTTTATTAGTCCATATATGTAAGGTAAAGATGGATTAGTGGAAGTAAATTGTTTGACTAATTCATCTTTGATGATACTGAAACCTATTCTAAACTCGAAACCGTTAACAGCAATTTCAATAAAACAATAAAACTTCTACTGAAAGGCAAAGATGAATTAGTCAATACACAAATAACCCGCACATAAAAGAGAGAAGCTTCTCTCTTTTATGTGCGGGTTATTTGTGTATCGTTCCAGTCACGGTATTGTGCCTTTTTTGCTATTTATGAATTAGTCAAACAATTTACTTCCACTAATCAATCTTTACCTTACATGTATGGACTAATAAAAACACACAAACCAGGGAATCCAGTCAGACCAATTATTAGCTCCATAGGGTCAGTTTCATATAAATTATCCAAATGGCTTGTTGATATTTTGAGCCCTATTGTTGGCAAAATTTCTAACTTTAACGTTAAAAACAACATAGATTGATATTGATCCAGGACTTGATCCAGGACTTGATCCAGGACTTGATCCAGGACTTGATCCAGGACTTGATCCAGGACTTGATCCAGGACTTGATCCAATACTTGATCAAATACTTGATCCAGGACTTGATCCAGGACTTGATCCAGGACTTGATCCAGGACTTGATCCAGGACTTGATCCAAGACTTGATCCAAGACTTGATCCAAGACTTGATGAACTACGAGAGACCGAAATTCTTCTCCAAGTGTTGGTTATATGTAAAGTGTGAGCTGTAGAAAGTGCAAGAGGGCTCAGCTCTAGCTCCAGGGTCGCCCTATTGTTAACCTTCAGCTTCTGACCCATCTAGCCCTGGCAAAAATTTCAACAATAGGCCTAATAGTTGATCATGCAATAAAGCTCCTACGGAGCTCACTTGAGAGGTCACTCATAAACTAGTTTAGAGCATTTTAGAGCACTCAGCACTTGTAAACTCGCTTAGAGCACTCAGACTACTTGTAAACTCTTTTAGAGCACTCAGACCACTTGTAAACTCGTTTAGAGCACTCAGACCACTTGTAAACTCGTTTAGAGCACTCAGACCACTTGTAAACTCGTTTAGAGCACTCAGACCACTTGTAAACTCGTTTAGAGCACTCGGAGTACTTATATAACCACTCAGAACAGAGCATTGCCACTCAGAGCAGTCATATCTCACTCGGAGAGCTCATAGCACCTCTGCACTCACTCAGAGAACACTTAAACACCCACGGAGCATTTATATACTCTGAACACCCATACCACTTACGTATGTACTCAGAGCACATTATACTCACTCAGAGTCCATCTGAAGCACTGTGTACTTGGCCAGGTGACTCAGGTGCCGATTCTGTGGAAGAACGAAAGGAAAATGGCCTTTAAGGTCGTGTTTTGCTTGCCATTTACACAATGTAGAATTAATGGCAGAGAAAATGGTGATGTAAAATGGGGGAAATGGTAGGGCCTTTTCAATGTGAGAAATGGGAGAGTGTATCATGATATGGGAATGGTAGTGACCAATATATTACGATAATGGTAGTGAAAATTGGAACATAAAAGTGGTGACAGTAGCAGTAGGAAAAGGCTGTTGCCATAGCAACATAAAAATAATGGTTATCGTTACTTCCCCCCCCCAAAAAAAAAAAAAAATCGGTGGTAACAACTGTATCCATGACAACTCCCCTCAACCCCGCCAAAAAAGTATGGCAGTATAAATGGCAAAAAATGGCAGTATCTATAAAATAAACTGAGTTGCCATAGCAACGAGAAAATAAATTTAACGATTGAAAATAATTTTTTTGTTTTTTCAATGATTTTTATTTAATATTTTTATTTATTTTAAATATTAATATATTAGGCACCATATATAAATTTTAATCTAACGGATATTATTATATTTACAAGAATATGCAGAAGAGATATATATATATAGAGTGAGAATCACAAGCAAATACAATCTCCTTAGCAATTATCAATATACAGGGTGTTTCAGAATAAGGACCTGATTTATACTGTATACTGCTATAAAATTGGTTCTATCATTTTGAAACACCTTGAATTTGTCGATTAGCAAGATGCTGACTGGAGAAACCAGATATAGATAGATTCCATCACACTGAGTTTCTTCTTCCTTATAAAGTTGATAAGTTAGCCTAAGAAACTATCTTGATGGAAAATGTAGAATATAAGTTTGGAATATCTGTCTAGTGTTAGGGATAATATTAGTAAATCAAGTGAATGTTATAGGAATGCGGTTAGAAGTCCGAGATGATCTATCATTCACTATAACATGAACGTAGATTAGTATGTTTATGGAGCAATTTGCAATGTCAACATTGATGTTGCAGTAGCCAGGCTTAGGCTTGGATACAAGTACTTCTGGCAGTTTGACAGGCTGACACACACACACACACACACACACTCACACACACACACACACACACACACACACACACACACACACACACACACACACACACACACACACACACACACACATACATACAGACAGACACATACAGACACAGACTCACACACACACACACACACACACACACACACACACACACACACACACACGACAAGGTGGACAAAGACAGGATGTTCCAGGGAGGGGACACAGAAACAAGAGGCCACAATTGGAAGTTGAAGACACAAATGAGTCAGAGAGATAGTAGGAAGTATTTCTTCAGTCATAGAGTTGTAAGGCAGTGGAATAGCCTAGAAAATGACGTAGTGGAGGCAGGAACCATACACAGTTTTAAGACGAGGTTTGATAAAGCTCATGGAGCGGGGAGAGAGAGGGCCTAGTAGCAACCGGTGAAGAGGCGGGGCCAGGAGCTAGGACTCGACCCCTGCAACCACAAATAGGTGAGTACAAATAGGTGAGTACACACACACGCGCGCGCGCACACACACACACACACACACACACACACACACACACACACACACACACACACACACACACACACACACACACATGAAGAAAGGTTGAGGGAAATCGGCCTGACGACACTGGAGGCCAGGAGAGTCAGGGGAGACATGATAACGACATAAAATACTGCGCGGAATAGACGAGGTGGACAAAGACGGGATGTTCCAGAGATGGGACACAGACACAAGAGGTCACAATTGGAAGTTGAAGACTCAGATGAATCAAAGGGATGTTAGGAAGTATTTCTTCAGTCATAGAGTAGTCAGGCCATGGAATAGCCTAGAAAGTGATGTGGAGGCAGGGACCATACATAGTTTTAAGGCGAGGTATGATACAGCTCATGGGGCAGGGAGAGAGAGGACCTAGTAGCAATCAGCGAAGAGGCGGGGCCAGGAGCTGTGACTCGACCCCTGCAACCACAAATAGGTGAGTACAAATAGGTGAGTACATACACACACACAAAAGACCTACCCGGGCAGGCTTTAAATACCCACGAGAGGAGAGAGGTTACTGGAACATCTGATCGTGACCCATGACCCACAGCCTATCCCTCCCACGTGTCTTGTTCCTGCCTGGTCGTGATATACCAAGCATGCTGTCAGTGTCACACTGCTCTATCCTGTTCCAGTTTCTCTCTCTCTCTCTCTCTCTCTCTCTTTGATATAGAAGAAAATGTATTTACCATTCTTCATTCAATAGCTTTCTTGTCAGTCAAGTCTTGTCAGAGGTGACCGGACATCAAGATTAGTATAACCTCCGTAACTACAACATCCTCACTCATTCTTCACAGTTATTTACTCTCCACCATAACATCACCATGTATCCCACCTTCAGGAACACAGCATCTGCGACCCATCCTTCAGTAACACAGCATCTGCGACCCATCCTTCAGGAACACAGCATCTGCGACCCATCCTTCAGGAACACAGCATCTGCGACCCATCCTTCAGTAACACAGCATCTGCCACCCATCCTTCAGGAACACAGCATCTGCCACCCATCCTTCAGGAACACAGCATCTGCCACCCATCCTTCAGGAACACACCATCTACCACCCATCCTTCAGGAACACAGCATCTACCACCCATCCTTTAGGAACACAGCATCTGCGACCCATCCTTCAGTAACACGGCATCTGCCACCCATCCTTCAGTAACACAGCATCTACCACCCATCCTTCAGTAACACACCATCTACCACCCATCCTTCAGTAACACAGCATCTGCCATCTATCCTTCAGTAACACAGCATCTGCTACCAATCCTTCAGTAACACAGCATCTGCTGCCAATCCTTCAGTAACACAGCATCTGCTGCCAATCCTTCAGTAACACAGCATCTGCTGCCAATCCTTCAGTAACACAGCATCTGCTGCCAATCCTTCAGTAACACAGCATCTGCTGCCAATCCTTCAGTAACACAGCATCTGCCACCCATTCTTCAGTAACACAGCATCTGCTGCCAATCCTTCAGTAACACAGCATCTGCTGCCAATCCTTCAGTAACACAGCATCTGCTGCCAATCCTTCAGTAACACAGCATCTGCTGCCAATCCTTCAGTAACACAGCATCTGCTGCCAATCCTTCAGTAACACAGCATCTGCCACCCATTCTTCAGTAACACAGCATCTGCCACCCATCCTTCAGTAACATAGCATCTGCCACCCATCCTTCAGTAACACAGCATCTGCCACCCATCCTTCAGTAACACAGCATCTGCCACCCATCCTTCAGTAACACAGCATCTGCCACCCATCCTTCAGTAACACAGCATCTCCACCCATCCTTCAGTAACACAGCATCTGCCACCCATCCTTCAGTAACACAGCATCTGCCACCCATCCTTCAGTAACACAGCATCTGCCACCCATCCTTCAGTAACACAGCATCTGCCACCCATCCTTCAGTAACACAGCATCTGCCACCCATCCTTCAGTAACACAGCATCTGCCACCCATCCTTCAGTAACACAGCATCTGCCACCCATCCTTCAGAGTACAGGCACTGTACTTCCCACCACAACATCCCCATCTCCAGTATTTCAGCATCCCCCACTCACCGTTCAGATGGTATAATCTCTCCTTTTGGCCTCCTAATAATCTCACTCGCTACAAGGGCCTCAATATCCCATCTACCCTTCTCCCTTCCGTTCATTCGATTATTCTTTTTGTCTTTCGTAGACCCATCTGCCGAT